ACCCCTTCCCCTCCCCTCCCCTCCCAGGCTGGGCTTGGGAAAGGGGCATGGGAGGCTGCAGTCTGCAGACCTCCTCCTTGGGAAAGGAGACTGGCTTCTGCTCTCCCACACCAGCCAACAAGGAGTCTGGGGGCATGTGGATCAGGGAACTGATCCAGGAGAAGATAATGAGGGTGGGAAGGTGGAAACTTGGTCTCACATGCCAAGTAGCACCTCATTTCTTCACAGCAAACATCCAACAGACATTTAATTCCAACTTCATTGCTATGTGCTGAACTGTAACTTTGACCACATCAGGAGTGTCGTGAAATGACATGGGAAACTCACTCACTTTTTCTTATCAAACATACTCACCCAAGTGAGTTGGCTCAGACTGCAACTAATTTCCCGTCTTCCACATTCTAGCAACTAAAGATCAGACCAGGCTGTCCTCAGACAGCTTTCACAAGAAGAAGGAAAACCTCTGTGACCCTTTCAAGAACTGCAGACTCTGATGATGGAAGAAAAAGGCACACCTCTCCAGCACCTGCTTCTATAAGTGATCGCTTCAAAGCACAGTTATACCTGTCTCCAAATCACATAGAAATGGCAGGAACAGAGTGAAATTTAAATTTCCCTGAAAAATACAGAGTATCATTCTACACATATGTAGCAACATCTACTCATAGCAAACTCCTCAGCTCCAATTATATTGAATTACGCTGAAGCATGTGTGTTTTCTAACACAAACCCAATAAGCATCTCTTAATGGAAATGTAAAGGACTGGTGGGTTGAGCCTTTGGCCATTATTAGTTCAGTATTACTATGGGAAAAATATAGGAGCTGATTCATATGATGGGATGCACATCTACCAACTTATCTTCCCAGATTCTTGTACATTTAGTGAGAAAATATAGATATGAAACCCTGACCATAAAGTGCTGTATAAATTAGTATTTGAGACAGTGCTGCAACAGACATCAAAGCCCTCCATCCAAACTTCCATTTTAAAAAAATATAAAATGTATATACGTGCAAGCTTTCTTCCCTGTGCTCACTTTCTGCACAGATGTGGCAAGCTCCTCTATTCCACTTTCTGCTTTTCCCACAGCCAAACTAACAACTGAGCAGACAAAATGCTATAGGATTAATTAAAAATGGCTCCTGTGTTTTGGATTAAAGCATGTAAAGAACTCAACTGTTTCTTTCAAAAGTGATTTGCTTGTTTTTACTTTTGAATGCTGATGTCTTTGCTTTTAATATTACTATTGAAATTTCCAGGTCATTTTAAAGTTATCAAATTTAAGGTTTTTCTGAGTAGTTTGTGGCCTATTCTGTTCTGGGTCAGAGTAGCTCACTGTGGTGGGTTTGCACAGTACTTTGAAGATAAACTCGCTTGGACTCACCATGAGTTGGATGCCACAATGAATGCAGAGGCATCCAGACCACCATCTGGTCCAGTTATGTTGGATGAGCTTCAGTTGTCAAGGCCTCAGGATGTGCACAAGGTCCCTGGTCAAGTCCAGCCCACTACTTGCGTGTTCAGCCATTGCCCTTCATGGCTCGTTACAATTAAGGAAGGGATTTCCACCTGGGTCCAGGAGGCTGTGAACGCTTCCTTGAGAGAGGGACTGATGCCAGCCTCTTTAAAAGAGGCTATAATGATGGCATTCCAAAAAAAGCCTAACCTGGACCTAGAGAATGTTAACAATTATAGGCCAGTGGCCACCATCCCCTTCCTGGGCAAGGCTTGAGCAGGTGGTGGCTGAACAGCTCCAGGAACTCTGGAATGAAATGGATTATCCAGATTCATTTCAATCAGGCTTCATGCCTGGTTTTGGAACAGAAACTGCCTCGGTCACCCTGTGGGAAGACCTTTGCCAGAAGAAAAATGGGGAGTGCAACCCTGTTGGTTCTCCTTGGACCTCTCAGTGGCTTTCACCATATGGATCCCATTAACTATCATATCTGCTGGAGAGGCTGGCTGAGTTAGGGTAGGAGGCATTGTGTTGCTGTGGTTCTACTCCAGCTTAACCAACCAATTCCAGAAGGTGGTGCTGGAGGATTCTGGCTCTGTCCCATGGCAGTCGTGCTATTTAACCTCTACATGAAACTGTTGCAGGGGGTTATCCAGAGGTATGGGTTGAAGTGTCATCAGCGAGTAGACACTCAGCTCTACTTTTTCATCCAATTCAGGGGAGGCAGTGGTCACTCCGAATCAGTGTCTGTGCATGGCAATGTACTGAATGAAGGCCAATAAACTGAGACTCAGCTGATGCAAGATGGAGGTGTTGTTAGTGAAGGGCTCATTTGTCCACTTGGGTGATGTTCAACCTATGCTGGATGGGGTTGCCCTCCCCATAAGGACAAGCTTTGTGGGTTGGGTGTGCTTCTGGACCCAGAGTTGTCACTTGAGGCACAAGTAAACTTGGTGGCATGCAGCACCTTTTATCAGCTTAAGCTGATATACCAACTCTACTTGGACAGAGAGAACCTAGCTGCAGTTGTCCATGCTCTGGTAACCTCTTGTTTAGATACTGCAATGCACTGTACATAGGGCTGCCTTTGAAAATGGCCTGGAAACTTCAACTGATCCAAAACAGGGCAGCAAGACTATTAAGGGAGACTGGCTCATGAGAACATATTATCCCAGTTTTCTTCCAGCTGCAATGATTGCCATCTGAAGGCCAGGCCCAATTCAAAGTGCTAGTACTAACATTAGAAGCCCTAAACAGCTTGGGGCCAGGTTATCTGAAGGATCACTTTGTCCCATATGTACCTACCCAGACCCTGAGATCATCATTCACAAGTCCTTCTCCAGGACAGGAAGGCAGACACTAGGAGGGCCTTTCTGGTTGTGGCACCCTGGTTGTGGAATTAACTCCTTGAAGAGGTGCAGTTGGTGCCTACTTTATATTCTATTAATATTGCCTTTTATTCTGTATCACTGCTATGCTTCTATGTTGATTCAACTGCAATTGCTATTGTGGTTTTGTTCTTGCTTTAGGTAAGTTTTATTTTGTGTGCTTGTATTTTAAAATTTTCTTAACTTTTATTAACCACCCAGAAAGCCTTGGCTATGGGGCGGGGGGGGGGGGGGGATATAAAAATAAATAAATAAAACTGACATACTAAAAAGGGTCTAGACTAATACTGAAACTGAAGTTGGTAACTTGGTAAGTGTTATGAGGGGAAAAAGACTTTGGTTTACCAGGTTGACATATACAAATATTGTTTGTACAAACCATTAAGATACCAAGGAGCTAGATAGAAAATCAATTTGCATACTTGTAATAATTTATTCTGCTTCCAAGATTCAAATTTCCAAAGAATTAACAAGCTTTTTGACAAAGAATGTCAAAACAGAAAGAAGACGGAAGAATGAAAATAGCATTATACTTCGAAGAGAACGGCCAACGAAGGCAAAGTGCAGAGGAAAGTCACTCTTTGACTTGAAAAGTCACTCTGGAAGCCATCATATAATCACCAGCATCCTGGCCCCTCCTCCCCCCACATGAAAAAGTAACCATATGGTCCATGGGAGAGAATCCCAGGAAGCACAGAATGGCTTATCAAACCCCTCCAAGGTCAAGGACAGTGCTCCAACTTTCAAAGCAGGAATCAGAGCTCTGACCCCAGACCCCTCAGCCGGCAGAGAGAACCACCTCTCCTAGGTCAGAAAAATGGCCCTGGAGTCTCAGGAAAAGTGAGGAGGAAAATGGAGAAGCCAGCATACATCTGAGCCTCTTGCAACCTTCTTCTCTCCCCTATCAAAACCCACTGATTAAATGGATTGAAAAACCCTTCCTGCAAAAAAGGAGGAAACTGGAAGACAAGTAGGTCTTGTCCTCCACCACTCCTCCCATCATTCCCCTTTTCAGTCTGGCAGGGTATAGGACACTCGGAAGCCTTCCAAGTTTGGGTGTTTCTGTGAGGCGAGGGCACAATTGATAGGAATGTGCCTGCAGTATTTTGTGCAGAAATTACATCAGAATCTGCAGTTACACAATGAACTAAAAAAAAATCCCATAATGAACATAGCCATTTGTCCATCTGTGAACAAAGCTAGCTGAGTGTGCAGATGAACAAGAAATGTTTGAGCAAAAGCATCTGCACAACTGCAGGGTGACTATCTTCTACCAAGATCCTGGTGCCCATGTAACTCTCCCCTATGCTTTGCTTTTCTGTCCTCCGGTTCATCTCTCACTTTTCAACAATGAAGGAAACAGACTACCTTCTCACATTGCTTATGCTCTGATACATTTGGTAATCTTTCCACAAGATACTTATTCTGGTTTGCAAAAGAGTAACATAGTGAGCCCTCCGAAAAGTTCCTCTCAGATGATATCACATTTAGTCACAGAGATGTGCATTGTAATGACATGCCAAATGGGTAACTGGAAAGAAACACACTGATATTTAGGAAAGGATTGGTTTATTGAACAGTGGATCATTAAGAGGGTTGCATGAATGGTTCTCATCTGTGGGTTTATTCATTTCTGTTATTTTTTGGAAAAACATCTTATGAAGAATACAGTCTGGCTGCCCCCAAAAGCCAGAGCCCCATTTGAAGTTCACCATCTCATATTTTCATGTCATTATCATGTCTGTGCCTTTCTTGCACATCAAGGGCTGATGCAAAGTGTCTATGTACAATGTGCACTGGGTTGAATGCAGATCAAGATGTGCATGACTGGGTTTGCAGAAGCCAATACCCTGCCCCCTCCTCCCCATGGCAATGTCTTCAGCACCCTGAAAATGCTACACAACAGCCCACTGTGGGTTACTGTGTGCATGATACAACAACCCACCTGAGGTGTGTGGGGTATGTGTGGTTGCCGTTTTGGATATGTAATCCCTGCTTGGATTTTGGCATGTCATGAGAACCTGGTGAGTGTGGGGTTTATGAGAGTTGAACAATGTCACTGTTACCAGACAGAATGCAAACAGTGTAATAAAATGTGATCATCCTTGTGTGTACAATGCATGTTTATCAAATGAGATTCAACTCGAACGTCCATAGGGAGAGTAAAGTTATTTTATTAAATCATGCACATCACGTGTGTTAGTGCAAATAGTTCAATCTGTACTCCAGAAATTCTATTGTTTTTATATCTTTACAAAATAGATTTAAAACAATTATTTACTTTTAAAAATGTAATTCTGAAGTTAAGCATTTTCAGAATAATATTTGCAATAACCTATATACAAGAGGTACTGAGTACCACTGGCATGTCTGTGTTGTGGGTGGGTTACAGCTTTCTGCAACTGAAAAGCATGAAATGAACAAAAATGACATTCTCTACATCTGTAGACTAACATTCCCTTAAATCTAAATGATCCTCCCATTAACAAATCCCAAATAGCTTAAGACAGAACCTTTAAAGTAAAATGACCCAAAACCTCAAAGGCAAATTATAAACTAAAAACTCTATTTAAATATTTAACTAGATCTGTTGATTGCCATTAAATCCTCAAAACCAACTGAATTTTACTGAGAATTTTTCATCAGCTGAATCATTTCACTTTACATTTTTATATAATTATAGACCTTAATGAACAGAGCTGTTGTGCAGTGCAAACCAGTACTCAATTAAGGTTGTAATTACAGTTGCCCCAATTCCTAAGTCAACAATTACTGGAGAGATTAATATTAAGGCCATAAAAGTTGTGATGTAAAGCTTCTATTCATTGACAGCACATTCTTCTAGCTTAAGTTGTTGCATAGAGGACCAATTAGATTATCCTAACCTTCCAGAAGGCTTGCTTATTTTGATTTTTTCTTCTCCCGTTCCCTAACAATAGAAGCTCTCATGCACTTCACATAATCAAGTTATGCAAATGAAAGCACAATTAAAGATACAAATATTACCTCCCCAGCTTGGTTTTTATAATACGTGAGTGGAAAAATCCTTTCTATAATGTGATATGTGAGAAAATACGTTGGGTTTTATAGTGTCTATATACATGAGATTTAATAAATTACATTCAAACTAAAAGTTGGATCACTGCACGATGTCCATCCGAAAATCAAGATAGATTTTGCTCCCAGAAAAACCTTAGTTCACTCAGGCACACACATGCACACACCTGCACACAAAAACAGTCTAGACTGATGCTTTCCATTCAGTTTCTTCTAGAGCTCTTTAAGGCTGACAACGAATTACGCTAGTTCCCAAGTCATCAAAATAGGACCTTTACTAAAGAAAAATATTTGTTTCCACCAGAAGACTTGGAAAAAAGAAAATTGTTCCCAATAGCTCAGTGACTCACAGCAGTTAAAAATAATAATAATGGTATGTTAATGTACAAGTAAAGTCCAACTGAAAGGCACTGAGCACACTGCATCGGCTTCTACGCATTGAAAGGATATTTGGCATGGGTGTCCAAATCAGAGATAAATGCATTGCTTTCAATCTGGCAATCAGATTCTTAAGTAAAATATCCACACACCTAACCATCATAAATAATTTGGTACCAAGAAGCCTACTTTAGGCCACCATAACAGTATTTAGAACTCCAACGTACTATCTTAAGAATTACATGAAATTGTAAGCAACAATATTGCTCACGATAGAAAGTAATAATTTTATTCCCTCTTTATAGACAGATACATTTTGTACAGTTTAAAGCAATGACCCTACTGCTGTTCTGAAGCCAAACTCTGTGGTACTAAGAGGTAAAAAAAGGAACAGGATGAATCTGTTTTCCCCCTGTATATGAGTGATGCCAGCTTCTAAAGGGAGGACGGTGTATGGATTCAACAACAGTTCTCATGGAGAAGCTCTGGTTAGGCCTGGGTACAGCACCATGGCTGTCACAGCAACCAAAGCTGCCATCACAGGCATCCAAGGCCATTGTCTCTGTGTGGGAAAAAAAAGAAAAGAATCAACATCTCATTGTTTTAGTGGACACTAATTAATTCACCCCCTTAAGTTCCTGGCAATCCCTAGCATATTTCCCATCTTTGCTTGGATTCGAGAAATTCTGAGTGGGTATCAAGAACCTAAATAATGTTCAGCTAAGTAAAGGAACGCCAATGGACACATGTTTCCAGGACATGAATTCATTAGGTTATTAGTTATATAATTTCATCCTTTAAAAGAATTCTTCCTATTGAACCTTTTGGCTTTAATCTGCTTTGCCGCTTGTGCCAGAGTAAAAATAGATGCATGCTATGCCGAATTATGAATTCTTCTTAGATACCTTCCAGTACCTTGCAACAATGCATGAGCTGAAGTTTACCTGTTAACATTTAACAATCCATATGAGACTTTCCTTGACTAGCTTTCAAAGCAATCTAAAATGCATCATTGTTATTGTTAGATGTATATACTCCATCTCTTCTTTTAACTTAAATTTTGACCATCTATCAAGAAGAACATAATTCCATATAGAGGGTCATAATCTTACAGAATGCATTTTTCAAGATACTAGAAACTACTGCAAGGTTAGAGATGGAAATGCTAATCCTTATGTATTGGTCTCCTCTACCCCACCCCTCACATTTTCTTCAGCACAACACTGAAAAAAATGAAAAGCATTCAAATGTAGAGAGAAAATTATGAATTAGTTGAGGGTAAAAAAGAAACCAAGGATCAAATTTAAATATGCAAACTCCTCATTTGTTAAGTCTAAATAGTTAGGTTTTCTTCCGGGCCTAACACTGCAGCATCTTATATAAGACAAATGTGTGTTAGAAGAGGTACAGTGAGAAACAGGTTACAACAGGACACTGTTAGCACCAGCACAAGGAAACAGACAGATGTCAATGATTAGTTTGGTTTTCCAATATTACACATAATGGCTTATTAAATGAAGGGTTTGCGTCAGGTAAATAAATACCTGGTTTTCACCATGCATTGCTTTACAAAAATGGCACAAACAGGTGATAGGGACGAACATACACGGACTGAACAGTGCTTATAGTACCTTTCTCTACCACAATGAGCTGTAACACCAAAACAGGAAAGCCAGGATTAGGCCGATGAATACGGCTGGGACGGGTGATAATATGGAAGGCTAAAGGGAAGGGAAGGGATATTAAAATCATTTTGTGCTATAAAAAAATCAATTAGGTAACGATGATTTAGAAAGGGGGAAGGTTCAAAGATAAAGTTTTGTTTCAGCTGAAACACTGAAGACATCTAACAAAACACAACTAGTCTGGTATACAATGTTAGTACACCACTGTACAAAGTAAACACAGATATTGAAAAATAAAGCATTTTTTTCTTCTAAGGAAGTCCTTATTATATTGAATTTAACATTTTAGGGCAAACAAGGCTTAGGTTCATTCTACAAATCAGGGAGATTCCCTAGATTATTTGTATAACAAATTCTAAGTTTAACCAATATTAAGGAAATTCAAAGATTTTCTATTTAATATTTAACCATTTAATTTTTTCTTCTCCTAATATACCTTTTCATTTTCCCTTTTACATTCACAACGGAATCTAAACTATGTAGTCAAGACTGTTTTTCGTAATGGGGGCCACTGTACACAAACCCCTTCCTACATGAGGTATCACCTCCATGTAGCAAGAAATACATAAAGAAGTGAACACTATCTGTTCCAAAGAAGAAATCACATATTTACATCTGTGCCTATATATAGTCTTAAAGAGATGAGGACGTCTCCTACTTTGAGGGTACATTTTTATACAGCAGGCTTCTTTTGTCTTCTCAGTAGAAGCACAAATACACCAGAGCATGATTTGCTGTGTGCTGCTCGAGTTCAAAACCCTGTTAGCACCCAGTCAGATTTCAAAGCAGGAATTAACTGCCCAAACTGATCACTACTGTTGATCCAACAACTTCCTCATGAGCTCTGATTATGCCAAAGCTTCCCAATCCTTTCTGCAAGCTAAGGTAAATGCTCACTGAGCACAATTGGATGTTTCTCTCTCAGTGAAGAAAATGCAACATCCTTGAATACATAGTATTCAGGATCTCTCCAATGTAAGAGATGCTTGGATTTGCCTTGTGCCCTGCCTCTTATCAGTACAGCATGAATATGACATAGTCGAAAGTTAGAGTAGGGGGAATATCTGACTCCCTCCCTCCCTGCCCCACTGTAGAAGCTGAATGAAAAAGAAGATGGTACTCTAAAATGTCAAGTCCCTGCTCTTAAGAACACAGCTTAGTATTTAATGGGGATTCAGTCTTAACAGTCAGCTTTAGTCCCAACAGATCTTTATGGCCCAATAGTTTATATAAGGAAATTCTTTCTTCTGAAAGATATAACATTCTGTTTCTGTAATAGTAATCCATGTGAACAATCCTTTAATGTAATTTGCATATTCACATTTCTCCTCAGAGCAGCAGGCATGGTAAATGGAAGCTATGGGTGATAAACTCAGGTAACTGCAAAAGCTAAAAGGCCAGAATAGTAATCAGAACCGTAATTAAGGAAATGAAAGTTACAAGCAAGACAAACTGCAGGAAGTGTTTCTCAAAAATAGATTTTTATACAAAAACACCAAGCAAATGGGAATACATGATGATTTTGTGTCATTTATGAGTAGAACTCAACTGGTTCATACCATATATTCTATTCCAATTCCACTGTCTGAGTCTGTTTGCTTAAAGAACGCAAAGGCCTCATCCATGCCCAAGAGAGAGATACCAACAGAATCTGAGGAATCCCAAGGTTTGCAGAATAAATCTTTAGAGAAGTAAGAAGTAGCGGGAGGGGAGACCTAAAACAGCCCAATGGCAACTGATCATGGTCAGCAACCACTGAATACTAAGTACTCAGCAGAATATCCTCCATGCAAATTAGGGTGGGGGCTAAAATAGACTGGCAGGAATATTAGGGTGCAGGAAGGCACAAAGATGTTAAAACAGAAGAGAGAGTGACTTCATTAAGCTGGTTTGGACATCTCAACAACTCACAGCTTACACAAACCATGAGTTACTGTGAATGAGCAGAAGCAAGTAAGGATGTTTGCTTTCTCACTTACTTAGCTACCCAAGGGTATTCCATCCCTTGTGTACTGTGACATACAAACCCAGAATGATGGTGTTAGGGGAGAAGAAATTCAAATTTGGATCCCATGGTTAAACCTACTAAAAAGCAGTTACATAAACAAGGTGATCTTAAATTTTGCTACTACCTTTGAGAACATTCAAAACACAAAGATTGTGTCTATCTGACCTATTTCACATAAATTAACAGAACTTCAGAGATACATCTCTCCTGGTCTATCTTACTTTTGCTGAGCATTTTTCAAATTAATGAATTAACTGTTATATGTCTCATATTTAAATCAACAACTCTCTATGCAGCCACCATTTCTAATCATATTTACTTTAGAAAAGAAGACTAGCAAAAACTGCAGTAGTATTTCAACCCCTTTTTATATTACCAATCTGGGGAGAAGTTTTTCTATTCCAAAATAGCTTTTAAGAGCTGCCATCAATACATTCTAGAGTCTCCCAGCAATAGTATGTTATGACAGGGCCCAACTGATCTTCTTGTTTGATAGGAATAGGCATTACATTTTTAGGACTGAAAGCAAAATCCATGAGGATTCTGTAGGTGAAACCAAATCATATTGCTAACTAAATCGTGCTTGGTAACTTTAAATTAGAAAAAAAAAATAAAAATAATTCTAGTTAATGAGAAGAACCTAGTGCAATGGATCCTAGAGAGGAGAAGGATCCTAGCATGCTACAAGGGAACTCTCTTCCCCCTCAACGTAAGCAAAGAAATTCAAATGACACTCAATTCATTCTTCCAAGAGGCAGGAGCTGTCACCCCAGAAGATATTTGCTAAAGCAGAGCCTGCAGAAAGAAATGATTAAATCCTTTCCATGTTTTTTGCCATGGTTACCAGAAAATAAGGAACATAAAAGATGTTCTACACCAAAGAGACCAAAGGCCTAGTTAGTTCAGAGAAGTGGCAAACCAGTTGCCTATGAGAAGTCCACAAGTGAGTCATGGGTTCAACAGCAAACACTGCTCATGTTCTGCACCAACTGGTACTGAGATACATGCTACCCACTGATCACCTTAATGACAGCATAGCAATTATTGACTGTCTTTTAAAGTTGTCCAGATTGATGACCATCATTGTGACCTGGTGTGTACAACATGACAATCCACTGTTGATAAGTAGCCACAGAGGGCTGTCATGCTAGCTGAATCCAGACCACTTCCCACAGGGTGACTTATTTTTTAGCAGCAAACTGCCTTAGCAACCCGCTGCTTGTTACAAGAATTCTTCCATCACTCATAGATTATGCCATTTGAGCTTAAGAGAGCAATTTCACTGAAGGTTGCAGTCAGCTAGTGAAGTGCTGGGTAAGAATGGGGAAAACTCCTCCCGCTCTTCATGTTTTTGTCCTTGCTGCTACAATTTGCCACTTAAAAAAATCAGTCCCAGGAAATTGTGTGAAAGTGAGTTTAATTTTTAAAGTTATTCTTATTACTTATTATTGTTTTACTTTGTACACGGTTGCTAGGGCCCAAGAGCCTAGCCATCAGCTGAAAAGTACCAAGGCTCAGCCCACCTTTTTTAGTGCCTTTTGGGAGCATTTACTGCTGCAGTTACTGCAGCTCAGCAATTCTTCCCTGGCTGTTAGACTATGTGTAGTCTTTCCTGGTCAATTTCCATGTATCTCTGCTCTGCACCATTGGCATCAACAGCTGAAACAAGTAAGGAAGTGACCAGACAAGACTACTCATATCAAACAGCCTTAAGAGTGCACTTGTGACCAAAACTATTTAAACTATTATAAATGCGCGTACACCATTTTCTGGGGCAAAGCATAATATAAAAATACAACTCCAATTGTCTATTTTTGAGGTTCTAATTTGTTTTTTTAAGTGGCAAATAAAAGGGGGTAGGACCAGGGTCGACAGGCTGAAGCAAGGCAGAGTCTGCTGTGGAGGACACCGTTAAGAGAACAGAGGGGAAAGACACAGCAGAACAAGCCATGGTAAACCCAGTCATTTGTTGGGCATACTGTGGGTTGTTCTGTGAACAACTCACAGTGTGTAGCTTATTCAGAGGATGGCTTAGCATATTATGCAAACCCACCCTATATGTTCTGGTACCAAATTCCATGTTTTAAATATGCACTGTGTGCTGAAGTACTTTCCTTTATCTGTCCTGAACCCCACCCAGTTAGATTTACCAAGTGATCTCTGGCTCTGGTATTATGAGAGACCTTCTTTCTCCACACCATCCTTAATTTTATATACTCACCCTTTCCCCTCCTAAGCTAAAGCACCACAAATGTTATAAGCCTTCTTCCTAGGGGAATTACTCCAGCCCTTTAATCATTTTGGTTCCCCCTTTCTGCTCTTTTTCCAGCTCTACTTCTATTTTGAGATATACCAACCCAAACTGCATACAGTATTCTAAGCATGGTTATAGCATACAGTTGTATAATGCCATTATGATACTGACAGGTTTATTTTTAATTCTTGTCCTAACAATCCCCAACATGGAATTTGCTTTTCACAGCAGCTTGCCATTTTTTATCAACTTATCCACAGCAAGCCAAATCTCTTTGGCTTCAGTTTCTGCAAGCTCAAACATCATTAATTTTCCCCAATATGTACCACTTTACACTTCTTTACACTGACACACTGCTGCCAGTTTGAAGTCAGTCTCTTGGAGATCCTTGCAATCCCATTTTTTTAAGCCACCCAAAATAATTTGGTATCATCAGTGAATTTGTCTCCCTTACTGCTTTCCCTACTACTCTCTGCTCACTCCAAATCATTTATAAACGACTTAAAAATTAGTAGTCCCAATACTAACCCTGAGGATCCCAGTATTTCAGTCCCTGCATTCCAAGAACTGACCATTTATTTCTAGTCTCTGCTTTGTATGTGTTTAACTGGTTACCAATTCATAAGAGAAACTTTCCTCTTATCCTATAACTGCTTAGGATTCTTTTGTAAGCAACATCATCAGAAGCCTTTTGGAACTCTGAATAGATGTTTTTCTCATCCCTGGATTAAAATATGAACAGAATAGCTCAATGTTCACCTACAACTATATGACTCTGTTATGTTCAACAGGAAGAAATCAAGAGTCTACAGGAAAAAAACCCCATGAGGATAGGCTTCCTTCCGCCATCCTTGTTTCTCAAAACTGTACTTTTCTCTGGTCCTTGCAATGTACACAAATTGTTTGTTGTCCCTGCAAGTGCCCCCTCCCCATCATATTTGCTCCTGTAGACTGTTGGGAGAATGAATGCCTAGCTTTTTCTAGGAAAAAAAATCAAGTTTCCCAAATCCCTACCCAAGAATGCATGGACCACCTGGCAGTTTTGTGGGGCCAGTGACTACATGTAACCTACACAGCTCTGCAAACATCCCCCCACCCCACACCACCACACCACACCACACCACAGATCCCCACCCCTGATCCTTTATAGCTAATACTCATATACTCTCATAGGGGAAATGAAATACCCAAAATTGGACACACACTTTACACCGACTTACATGGTTTCCTTTTTCTTGTAGCAGCTTCAAGTTTTCTTTACACTGTTTGAGTTCATCTGTGATTGATTGCTTTTCCTGCTCAGTGATTTCAAACTTCAACTTCAGATCTGAGAGTATGGTCTGTGTCTTTTCATACTAAAGGCAAAGAAAACACATATCTACAGAGCCATTTCAACTAAATATACGTAGTTAAAGTAGCCTTTGGAAGTTTCTGTTTTAAAATGTATTGTGCTGTGTTTTAATATAGATATTTGTGACAAAATTTGGCTTTTGCTTTTTAAATATATATTAGAACCAGGAATCAAGATAAAAGCAAGTGGATGAAAGTGTCTGCTGCTCTGCACAAAGCCATAGCATTTACCACTCATCTCTGAATACTATTTATCTTTTCTTGGTGCTGTTAAACCAAGGTGAAGGAAAAGTGTCAAAAGATAATAAAAACATCTCTTTCGCCAAAACTAGACCTGGTGTCTCCTGTTCATCTCCCCAGGCATGGTGGAGAAATACAGTTATGTTGTTTTGTGTTACCACACATTACTGGGGAGGAATGGGAATAGGAAAAGCAGGGTTGCAGGTTTTAACAGCCGCAGCTTTGTCATATGTATTTCCAACTTCATTTTTTGAATAAAATTGCTCATTAAAATGTCTTGTTTTTATATATGGCATCAATATTTAGTTCTACTTTTCACTAGATGTGTTAAAATTCTTTCTAAAAAACTGCATCTCAAAGTTATTATATCTTACCAGTGATTCAGACGTAGGTATGATTCAATAATATAAATTGAATATAAAGATTTAAAATATTTTAATGAGAATTTTCTTCAACTACTAAGAGCATACGTTCAAGATGTGAAATACTATTCAAATTTCCTGAAGAGAAGTTAGTATTTAAAGTAAGTCTAACTCCCCACAAGGCTTTTCTGATGAAAATACAAAACTACAGTATGTTATCTGGATCTGGAAGTTTATCTGGAAATATAATTTCTGATCTGGAAATCAGAAAATGTACCTTCTTCTGTTGAATACATTCTTATCAGCCTATTTGAAAAGGTTTACATGCCAGCATATTACAAAAACTAAGAATAACATTCTTCTTTACAGGAAAACCACCAGAAGATTTTTGTCCAGAGTAATTGCTCAAAAAAGAAGCATAGGAGGGTGGGAGAGGCGTTCATAAAACTAGTATCTTAAATTATTACCCACTGCAGCACTGGGTTCTTCTTCTGTGCAGATCAGCAGATAACCAGCCCAAGCTCTGCTTCAACGCATATGACTTGTGGGAATGTAATGTACTGAAAGGCCTTTCCAAGCCTGTCCTAACCCTTAATCTTGTTTCATACATCAAAAATTTTGTAAACTACCTGGTGTTATTTTGCAAATGAGAGTACATACCCAGTGATGTTGTTCTACAAACAGCATTAACAGAATGTTTCTACTAGCACAGGTTTAACACGCAACCACTTGTACAAGGGTCACACATACTCAACATATTGCACAAGCATAATATGAAAACATTTGCACAGCAGATTGTACAAGCACAACATACAACCAGTTGCACAACCATGTTTGTGCAGTAGCAAACTTAGGTGGACTTTCCTCTTCCACATAGGTCAGAATCATTCTTGCATTCGCAGAATGACATAGTTGCATACTGCCCTAAATGTTTAATATTTGGTATTTTCAAAACTTTTGAAAAATAAAGAGAAGGCTGATGTACCAGCAAATTATGTATAACCAACTTCCTTTATGGACCATAAATGTAATCAAACAAGACCAAGCAGGAACAGAATCAAGGAAGGAGCATCATAGATAGGAATCGGTGCTTTTGTACTGGGATGATATGTTCCAATATATTTTTTAAAAATCTTTTTTATACTACTAAATTCATTTTTAACTTCTCAGTTAGAGAACTAAAACATGTTAGTTAACTTCAACAGCAAAATGCAACCAAAGAACATAAAAAATGGAAAATATTATGGAGACTGCTCTAATTTCTATTGTCAACAAAAACCTCATACCAGAAAAAGCAATTCTTATTTTTATGGGACACACACATATTTCAGCAATGCATTCTATATTCCCATTTTACAGAAACCTTAATACAAGTGTCAGAAATCAACCATATATCATTGCACTGCTGAAGCCACTATGTAGTCATCCATGGAAACAAACCAAAGGTTTCTGAATCCCTTCAGAAATCAATTACTTCTCTCTTAAGCATTTATCACTTCCACTTGAACTAAATAAATAACACCTTTGTATTAATCTATTTTTTAAAGAAACATGTTGAAACAATTAATGTCATCAGTACAAACAAATATAGAAATGAATTCCAGGTGGCAACTGAAATGGTAACACAAGAAGGAACTGAAACATGTAATGGAAATTGCTAGCCCATGTTTCTCTGTATTATTACATAAATATATGAATGAAACATCCAGTGAAGGTTATTCACCTACATGGTTTGTGCATGAGACACTTCTGGAAGGCAAAATATTTTGTTATATACTTTAAATCAAGCTCTAATGCCAAATTGCACATTTAATCTGTCTATAAAAACAGCTGTTGCTTTAAGATCAAAGCATTCCTCAGCAACCAATACACCTAAGCTCCGTCTTTGGTGCAGAGGGGAAAGGAATTCAATTAATCTATTTCCTCAATGTGTTTTCAAAAATTCTAGTAAGAGCATGATGCCCAGGTTCAGATGTGGCAAAGTTATGGTAAGATGATTTAGCTTATTTTCTCATGGGGAATGTTTCTTAGGAATGTTGCTACATGTGACAACAGTTTGTTTCAGACTGTTCACAAGCCTTCAACCTAATGTTATAAAAGCCAAGCACCACAATTCAGGAACTCATTCTGAAGTAAAATTCCTCATACAAAACTGACAATTAAAACATTGTCTCACGTACTGAATGTGGCAACTGGGCCTGAGTCTGAGCACTATACTGCTCTAAACAACACAGGCAGGAAGCAAAGGGACAAAGAAATAGCAAGTTCATAATCAGAGAAGTCCTACACTGAAAAAGCATTAACAAACAAGGCTTAGTTTACCAACAAGTGTAAAAATGTGCCATCTCACTTCAATTTTAGGCCTAACGCATATAATTTCAGATAAACTTTGTCAGGTTTTTGATTCCCTCATCCTCACCTTCTTTAACGGCTGCTCTTGCACCACCAATTTTCAAATTCTGCTTAGTTCCAAAGCAACCTTCCTCATAACGGCCTTGCTTGCACACAACACTAAACTATGATTGAACATTACATCCAGAGCTTGCATGTTTCTCCCAGCCATTTCTTCTCTAACATGGCTGTGAAGAAATCAGAAACTTCTGCTTTGCTCTCAAGTAACTGTTGTTACTTATTATTAAAGCTGGGTGAAACTGTGCTTGGTCTTAACTAGTTTAGTTAAGCAAACTTCAAAACCATAGTTGGATCCCCTCAAGGGATTCCCATCTGTCCTCTAGGTTCTTCCCTAGGATTTGCTGCTTCCCCCAAAAGGGAAAATTTGCATCTGTAATCAACATTACCAGGAGTTAAAAACTGAAAAAGCTGCCCACCTCAGTTCTAAATCATTAACTACAGTTACTGCTTGATTAACTGTTACTATCTGAAAATATTTCCAGTCTTCTCCTCATGACCATGGAAGAAAAGAAGGAAATGGCTCAGGCTCAGTCCTATAGAGTTAAATTGTGGTTTAGTATTACATCCTAACACAGTCAACATGAGAACTGCTGTTGGGTTGGCAAGATGAAAAATAAAGTGCCAACTGGATGGCCAGAGTTTAGAGATTTTCAAAGCATACAAACATCCATATAAGTGAAAATTTAATATCTACCTCATTTTGAGCATCCTTGGCTTGGTTTTCAGCCTCATTAAGAAGCGTTTTTAGACTTGCTGCATCTCGCTGATGTTCTTCTTTCAATGAACCCATTTTATTTTCAAGCTCCTTTCGGGTCAGTTCAAGAACACTCAAGTCACTGGTAAGTGCCAAACTCTGTTGCTGAGAGCTGCAAAGGGAAAAAAGTAGAACCCCAAGGAATCCTTGTTTAGAAACAAATGCTTGTAACCAATCGGGTATCAACTTCCCTTCCTCACAATCATGTAAATTCTATACATAAGTCTGAATACTGGGAGTCTGCAATATCCCCATGACTGAAGAGAGTACAGATATACTGCTATACAGTGCACAAAGAAAATAACAAATAGCAAAGGATTATGCTTTGATTTTAGAACTATGAAGAGAGCTTTTTAAATTATTTAACACCAAAAAATAGAACTTAAAATTGTAAACAGAGGTTTGGATTGAACATAACTTTAACCCATAATTTAGTATTTAAGACCTAAGCTAGAGTAAACTTCAGACTTCCAGTGCAGACACAAGCAGAAGACCATAACCTTTTGATCCAAACACAGTCATATTGTGGCTAAACTAAATTTTGATTAGCCAAAGCTAGTCAACTTCAAATCAAACTAACCATAGTTAAAATTAACTATTAAGATTTGAATGATACATTTGAAATTAGCCATAGTTTAGTGTAAGTGGAAGCTTTCCATCATCTCCTTGCAGCTGCATCAGAACAAAGGGAAGGGGGAGCATATAAACCTGAGGTTCCTTATGCTGAACCATAGTCTGGCATTATGTTCAAGCACCGGTGATCATTAATGTAGAACAAGCCAGCTAGGAGCCTGGAAGGGAAGCTGGAGCTGGCACCAGCCTGGCTAAATTTATCCACATAGCCCATTTCCCCCCAGACTCCTATAATTTGATAGACTTTGTGACAATACATAAATAATAATTCCTCCTAATAGTTGAGTGAGTGCCAATAGGGTTGTAAAGAAAATATGGCCACTGAGAAATAAAAGGGAGGCATTAGCATGCTTGGGGAAACTGAAAGGTTATAAAGCAAACAACATTTTAAAAAAAGATCTTGCAACCAAAAGCAAAAACAGTCCAGTGAAGAATGGCCATGTATTATAGTTACAGAATGTTAATGGTAGTTTAGAGAGGAAAACAGAAAACTGGGGTGGGATCAGTGGAATGCCCACCTTGGAAGGAATGGCTGACTGAAATCCTGAACCTTTCTATTAGAAGGTTATACGCTACAACATTTTGCTCCAGATCCCGTGTGTTATAATTAGATTTTAGATCACTCTGAATTAAACTAATATAATATCACAATTGAGTCTGTATTTCCAGTATTAAATAAAAGGATGTTAAGTCATTGTTAAATATGTGAGGTCTGTACAATGCAACAGGACTTCTTTTGACCCCATGTTTAACAGGACTTTGACTTTTTTCTTGAAATAGATGCCATTCCATTCTACTTCCAATTCAGCAGAGCAGAATGTGATTCCAAATCCCAATGGCCACATAGCAGACAAATCTCTGAATTCTAACTTATTAAGCAAATATTATTGGTTAATATGCAATGATATTTAAGTCATGCAGTACAAAAATATGAAAAAAGTCATACAAATGATATTTATACTGAAGAGCCTCAAAATGTATTTTAATTCTTAAAAAGTATTTTGGCAGCATGGAAACTTTATTTTTATGGAGGTAACCCAAGATCACAATACACCTTCAAATCATACTATTGAAAATGTTATTTCAATAGCATTTTCAAATATATTTAAAATGTTATTTTAAAAATTAAGGTGATATTAGGCCCCCACTTTATCTCTACCCTACCCAGCTGCTGCCTATGAGCAACTATCATATCTAGTCATTCCCAAAACCTTGAAAAGGGGAGGGAAGCAAAAAGCAAAAACACATGACTCATGGAGTCTACAGTAGTGAGAGCGCAACATGCAAGATCACTGTTTCTATTAAAAGCTTTCTATTATTTCAGAGATTGTTCTAGAGATTGTTCATTTTCCCTCCACTATTCATGGAAATATGAGCATTATTCAGAGCTGAAGAATCAAACTCTTAAATATCAGAGCAACTATTGATGCAAAGCCTTTTAAAACTGAGCAAGTCCTGTGAAGTCCAGGTAAAAGACAGCCAGTGTTCTAGATGCATGCAATGCATTTATATTAAATCTGTTTGTTTGTTTGTTTGTTTAGACAGCTTATATGCCGCCCCCTTTGCATAAGCCTCGGGGCGGCTTACAATCATTAAAATCCCGCCTATAAATACAAAAATACATAAGATACATAAAATAGTGGAAACAGCCTGGTCAGTTTAAAATCAATAAATAAACCTTAACAATTAAAATAGCGTTTAAATAAAAAGGTCTTGGCCTGGCGCTGAAAAGCAAATAACGACGGCACCAGGCGGACCTCTCTGGGGAGCACATTCCATAGATGGGGCGCCACCGCAGAGAAAGCCCTTCTCCGAGTACTCACCCTCCTAATATCCTTCACGGAAGGTTCCCGGAGAAGGGCCTCTGCCGCCGATCTCAACGGGCGGGAGGGCATATATGGACGCAGGCGCTCCTTTAGGTAACCAGGACCTAAGCCGTTCAGGACTTTGTAGGTGATAACCAGCACCTTGAATTGGGCCCGGACTTCAATGGGGAGCCAATGGAGCTGACGGAGGACTGGGGTTATATGAGAACAACGTCCAGTCCCCGTCAGCAGCGTGGCAGCTCTATTTTGCACCAATTGAAGTATCCGGACTGTCTTCAAGGGCAGCCCCATGTAGAGCACGTTACAGAAGTCTAATTGGGAAGTGACCAATGCATGTGTCACTGTTGCCAGGCAGTCGTTCTCCAGGTAGGAATGCAGCTGATGGATCAGCTGAAGCTGAAGGAAAACGCTCCTCGCCACCGCTGTTACTTGAGTTTCCAAAGAAAGCTCTGGGTCGAGGAGCACTCCCAAGCTGTGGACCCTTTCCTTAAGAGGGAGTGCAACCCCATTTAGGACAAGGTCAAAGTCCCCCATCCCAAAGCCCGAACCACCTACCAACAGGACCTCCGTCTTGTCTGGATTGAGCTTCAGTTTATTGGCCCTCATCCAGCCCATTACCTCAGCCAGGCACCGGTTCAGTACAGCTACTGCCTCACCTGGATCAGTTGAGAAAGAGAGGTAGAGCTGGGTATCATCAGTGTACTGATGATTTCGCAGCCCACACCTCCTAATGACCTCTCCCAGTGGTATCATGTAGATGTTGAATAGCAAGGGGGACAAAATGGATCCCTGCGGAACTCCATGGCATAGCTGCCATGGCGCAGAGCCATAGTCCCCCAGCACCACCTTCTGGAGTCGGCCATTGAGATAGGAGTGGAACCACTGCAAAGCAGTGCCCCCAACCCCCAATCCCGCTAGCCTATCCAGAAGGATACCATGGTCGATGGTATCGAAAGCCACTGAGAGGTCCAGGAGATCCAACAGGGACACACTTCCCTGGACCCTGCACAGGTCATACAGGGCGACCAAGGCAGATTCAGTACGATACCCGGTCTGAAGCCGGACTGAAATGGGAATTATTATTTTTTTTAACTGAATTAAAAAAAAAAGCACAGAAATTTCAAATACTGCTACTTCATTAAAAAAAAGTGTCTTCCTTTAATATCTCTTTTAAGCTGACACCTAATGGTTTTGTGTAAGGACTTGGTTCCCAAGTTCAACATGGGTAGATATCTCTCATTAGATTCATCTGCACTTACTTATGTAGTTCCTTCTCCTGCCGCTGAAGTTCACATGCAAGCAAAGAATTTTCCTTCTTTAATGAAAGGCATTTGGCTTCAAGAACAGTCCACTCTTCTCTCAACTTTTCAAGTTCACCTACAAGCAAGTAATGCTAAGTTATCCATTAAAACAGACAAAGACAGCTGTCTTCAAATATCTTCTGTAATGCCTACAGATATGTTTACAGATTATCTAAAATATATGTCACATTAATAAATATGCTATTTTGTAGCAAAATTGACTTCACAGTAACACATTAACAGAGATATCTCCTAGTTTCAAGGACTACCACTCTCCACCTGTGTAAAATTACTAAATACACAGTAAATCAAAACACTCCAAATACCAATTATGAAAAAATAAACTATTCATAGGACTTTACAACACGGAAGGTACACAAAATACTGCTCTCTTTCAGATTTCATCAATAAATTAACAGAAGAAGGTAGGCATTCAAAACATCTTCCTGTCATGGAACAGATCATCCTAAAGTTGAAATTTAAAAGTCCACTGTTTTTTCCTGCTCCGTTAAGACCATGCGTACATGCATGTGGGCACACAGACAAGGGAGGGAGTGAAGGTTCCAAAAAGTACAATACAGACATCCATCTTCTGTGGGCTTATGATATAAGTACAGCCAAAAAATACAAGAAACAAGGACCACTGAGTTGACAGATACTATGTGAACGCTGGAGCAAAAGTATCAGAACCTTGAAAAACATGAATCACTGCAATTACCACTGAATGAAATTATGTAACTCTTGCAACTGCCAGATGGATGTAACTCCCAAAACACACACCCACATACACACACAAAACTTTCAGAAGTAATTAGCACAAAACAATTAGCTCAAAACTATAACAATATGTAGGTACAACTTTATACATATGCAACACTTTGCTACACTAGGACATGGTGACTTGGAATTGCTGGGAGTTGGAAGGTTTTTTCCTGACAAAATATGCACATGATGGTATCTTTAGGTGCTACATATCTTCTTATAAACTAGTGCTATGATGCATTTTCTTCTAATATTGCATTACAAGTTTCAGCATCTTCACGAACCTAATCATCAGCATTTAAATTCAGAATAGTAACTTAAAGTTATTACATTGTGGCTACAGTTTATTTTGCTGAACACTTCATTTGTTTTCAGCAAGTACAGGGGCTAGCTGATGGAAAGGACAGCTGAAAACATATTGGTGGATTCCAGTGGCCACGTCGTACAGATATGTTTCTGACAATGCTACATTTCTACAACATATGGTGCTACACAACCTAACAGCTACTGACAGCCCTGTTTTTCAAGGATTTGTCTAATCCTTTTTTTAAACCATCTGAGCTATAGACCTGGTCTGCACATAAAGACAACCCATTGGTTTCACCAATCATAGAACAGTAGAGCTGAAAGGGTCCAGAGGCCCATTGGGTCCAACCAACTACTCACTACAGAACTCCAAGTTAAACCATCCCTACTGAGTTGTACACAAGTGGGGACAAGTTCCTTTTCCACTTTTATCCTACAGTCCATAACCATCTGTTGGAGTATGATGAACAAACCCACACTGCTGTTGTTAAGGTATAAACTGGGTTGTTTAATCTCTAGTCTGGATGTGCATATAACTTTCCATAATCTAAAAAAGAATTCGTCAAGGATTATGATGAATAGTATGCTGGTAGCCAGGCCCTGCCCTTACCTGCCAAGCAGATCAAGATAAGACCCTTCTAACTACAGCCTTTATTGTGTTGAAATGGCCATTTAGGCTGGCTTGTGATACAAAAATGGAGTACTGCTGAAGTCACAGACAAAAGACACCAATGAAATTAGAGTCCCAGCTATTAGGGAAATACATAATAGGAAAACAGGAAAAGAAGTTGGTTCTGAACTGAATCCTCCTGTGCCCTTCCCAATCAGATATAGTTGGCTCCACTCCCAGGGTGGTTCCAACTGTGAGAACATTAGACACTACTCAGTTGGTGTGCTCTTTTGATTTGATGCTGAATATAGGACTGATTGTGTTATTCTCCCTATCTAACTTCCCCTGTTCAACAGTTTCTCACTGAACCAGATGTGCCTTGGTTCTTACCACCTCCCCGACTTTTATCGTCATCATTTGCAAAAGCACTTGCTTGTACATCATGTCATCCAAACTCAAGCAGCATGGCTCATTTGAGTTAGAAGCAACCCTCAAATAACCCACAACAACCTACTGTTTCACTGAGAGTTGTTTTCCCATCAAATAAGCCATGGAAACCATGAGTATGGACAACACAAGCTGCACTTGTGTAATTGAGCAAGATGGTGCTTGGCACACACAGGCATATATAGTGGCTTCTTTATGTGGGGGCGACTGTGCAAACGATTGATATCGCACAGCCTTGGAACAATAAAAGTTTAAACACAGCACTTCATACATGCTTTTAATTATAAGGTATATACCTTGTAAACGGACGGCTTCCTCTCTCTGCTGATCTTCACACTGTTGACATCGTAGCTGAAAACTGGCTTGCAGACTGACAATCTCTTTTTCATATTCTGAGGCCTCTTTGCGCCACCGTTCAAGTTCAGCCCTTACTTTCTGAAGCTCTTCTTGCAACGCAGTGACATCTGTGTCCCTTTCTGATGCTGCCTTTTCTGCCACTTGCTGCAGTAACAGAATCTCACTTTGAGCACTAAGCAATTCATTCCGAGTACTGGAGATCTCGTTCTCTTTTTCTTCACGAAGACGTTCAATATCATCCTGTAGCCTCTGCAACTGAGCTGTAAAAAACATTTTACAGAAAAATAGATTTTCTTAAGTCTTTAAGTAGGTAAATTCTTGTTAGTCTGATATAAAACAAAAGGAAACTGTAAAAATTCTAAAAGGAAACTATCTGAATTTTAATGTTGTTTTATAAGAAAAGGGAAAAAATCTATTTAAGAAACATGTTGCAGTACACTGATGTAGCATGAGGAGTTTTGGGTTTTAAGTATTTAGATAAAGTTGAAAAATAAGGTGAACCAGTGACTGTTTTTTAAATGTGTTAATAATGTATCATTGTACTGTCCATATATATTGTCTGTATACCTGAATCTCAGGTCTACATGCCTGAAACTCAAGGTTTTGATGAAGCGGCTGTAGTCCAAGAAAGCTTATGCCTTTATACATTTGTCTATCTTTAAGGTAATACAAGAGTATTTTTTAGTAAAACATGCTATTTTAATCTATTTCCACAGTTACCTGTCTGGAAATGGATTAAAAATGTGTGCAATCTGGAAGACTCAGACAGAACTACACATCTTAAAGGGATTTTTGAAGCTTCTATTCTTCATCATCATCATCATCATCATCATCATCAATAACAGCCCTTAAATTGAACTCAGTATTCCTCTAATTTTGGAATGTATAAGCCAGGCCAATATTGTGAAGAGTGACAAGGGTTTCTGCAGTTCTTGCTGAGCAGCACACTAGCCACTTCCTGCAACCCACAATCAAATCAGTCACCTTTGGTTCATTACTAAAGCTAGTGGGGACTAAGGTTTCTCAGGTCAAATATTACTGGAAGTGATTAGTTATTAACTTGACTTTCATTTCAAAGTTTTTTGGTGTTACGTATACAATCTGAATTTTTCCTAATTATAAGGTATTATATGATCATGCACATAGTAATAGACATACTTTTTAGGAAATTTTTAAACATTTAGCCTGTATGCTGTGGCCCTTTTAAAATTGTTTTTATAGATGTTTAATTTAGTATGTTTTAATTGGTTTATAATGTATTAGTATGTTTTACATTGTAAGCTGCTTAGGAAGGCCTTTGCCATTATAGGCGGCCTACAAATATAAATACATACATACATAATAGTAATAGGTAGCTGTAGTAGGTAGCAATAACTGCAACATATATTAACAGCAGAGCCATGTTTTATAGCAATAACAGTTTCTGGTATAAATTCTGTTCACTGGTATCAATTTTGTTCCAACCATTCATCAGAAAGTAGGAATTTTGTTCTTTTTTCAGAATTTCCATAAAAACTGTTCCAATTATATTATCTGTATATATTTTCTATTATATCTATCTTATAATTTAAGTTTGCATAGTTTGGATTTTAATTAGTTTTGGATTTTAAATATAATTTAATTTACTATACCTTGAAGAACTTGGACTTGTTTGGTGGACTCTTCAGCTTGTAGTCTATAGGCTTTTCTCTCTTCTTCCAACAGAGCTATAAGCATAATGAAAACATCTAAACCATTAATACATTATGTTTGCCATTAGATATTTAAACATTAAAAACTAGTTTATAAACAAATCATTTCAAGTTTAGTAGTTCATTAAAAATCAAGCAGAGCCAACATAAGTAAATTAATATTTTGAAATGATTACATTACTCTGCTAGTTGTTAATGCATTTTAAGTTTTTTAAAGATTTTCTATACTTCTCTTCAATGCATCTATGACAACTCTGTGCTATGGAAGAAAATGAAACTATCCATGAAGACAAGTGGTTTATTGTCACTACTTAAATTAAACAAACATTTAAACCTAAATTACAGTTAGGTCTATACATGTCCACTCGGAAGTAAGTCTCATTGTGCTCAACAGAATTTATTCCTAGGTAAATCAGTATCGCATTGCAGTTTTATAAGGCTATCATGTGGCCCTTAGACATTGCCTAAGAGGCCACAGGATGATTATTACTATTATTCCCAGTTCCATCCCCACTCCTCTGCCACTTTGCAGCCAGCGCAAGGGGAAGGGGGGAAGCAGCACCAGCTGCTCTCCAAGTTCAGGAACACAACCTCAAAGAACGGCCAAACAGGGCAGGAGAGAAAGAGACTAGAGTGGCCAGAAATACGGTATGCTGTAGTTGCTTCAAGGTGATCCCTCCCTCTCCCTCTAAGACACCTAGTTAAATAGATAAAAACACCTTTTGGGCAACAAGGCAGAGTCGGAGAAATGGCAGAAGTGAAGTCTCTGTCATTTCTCCCACTGTGCAATGGACGCCCATAAACCACTAAGTTCAGCGGCTTATGGACATCCTAATATGGTTGCACCCTTAGAGTACTTTTCCCCTTCATTGTGAGGAGGATATAAAACTGTACTTGGCATATAGATTAAAAATGATCAGGCCAAATAGATTTAAATGTACCCTTTGATTACTAAAGTACTTGGATACACATTTCCAGGGTACTCCGCAGATTAAAAGGAATCTTCATCTCACCTTGCAGTTCAAAGCATTTTTGTTTACTTGTCCTAGCTAGCTCTTGGGCTTCAACCAGTTCCTTGTGCAGCTGCTGTATTTCTTGTTTAGTCTCAGTTTCTGATTGTGCACCCTGCAATTCATCTGCTAAAAGAACATGTTTCTTTAATGCATCAGTTTTAGTAATGGCTTAATTTCTATTACCTTGTGAAAATGGGATCATGAAGGGTCATGCAAAATTAGTTACTTACACATCACTGAATTAGATAATGGTTAGAAGATAAATTAGAACATGGTTAGGGTGTCAAATACCCACACGCACAAGTCCAGCATGCAGGAATACAGTGCAAATCAGCAGAAATAATGCATGCTTGTAATTCCAATCACATTTTGCAGCACTAACATTTCTGATGTGCCCAATTCTTCATAACACTCAGAATAACCAGAATACAGCTCGATTAATTTCAGATGACAACTTTATTATTCTTTCATTTCATAGTTTCATTCAAAAATGATGTATTCAGCATGCTAAATGTCTCAAGCTGACATGGTGAGGCCCAGTAAGGCCCAAGGACTGTGTGGTCTACTCCAGACCTCTTCTAGTACTATGTCAGGCAGCAAGCATTGATATTCCTAGTAATCAAAGAACTGCATTGCCTGCCCCTGGATGTACAGGGAACATATTATCATTACACTGAATTTATATCCTGTCTCTGCTCCTCAGGTGGTGTGCGTAGGCCTCCTCCATGCCATTTTATTCTCACAACAACAAGCCTGTGAGGTGGGTAAGGCTGAGAGTAAATGACTGTCTCCTGTCTCTCCAATTCAACACTAACCACCACGCCACTCAGTCTCTTGCTCTGAGGCAAAATCTCACTCTAAAAACCTCCGATTCTTGCACAAAGCTTGGGACCTCCATTCTTTCCTCAATTTCTTTCCCATATAACATCTGTTTGGAGCCATGAGAAGTATCTGCCTTGAAGATGTAAAATGCAAATATGCTTCTATATCACTTGTAGTACATCTATGCAATTAGCAAAGTATTATCATTGTAGAGACTGTATTGATATCAACGGAGCCTGGACAAGGCTCTTTAGCAAGCAGTATAGAAATAAAGGAGGAAATAGGAAGCAATATGTTTTGCATGTCAAGCTTAATAATTCAGATTTTCATTTTTAATTTTATTCACTGATTCTTTTTTTAAAACCTGGTTTAGAATGAATAACTTTTGCAATTCATAAATGAATCCAGTGCCCAAAAGTACATCCTGAAAAGTAGTTTTGTTGTTAAACATATGAAAAAGTGAGCTATTTAAAGATATTCTATCCAAGTGCAAGTATCTTAATTAAATTGGCCAAAAAAAATTTGCACATACTTTTACAGTAACAATAATTTAGTTATTCTGAACAACTGCAGGATAAAAATGCTCATCTATAAATACTTTACAGAACATATAGATTCTAAATAGTATTTTAAACACAATGCACTATGTATCATTTCATTGGAGTAAGCAAAAATGAAGTTAGTGCAACATACAGCTGAGTAATATTCATAGGATTCAGCTGTAGGTTGTGCATATAGATACAATCAGTGAAGGTTTCAGCAAGAGGAATCAGGAATTCATAATCATTATTGTGAATCAATATATTTTTTTCTTTCCACCCTATCTTAAGCTCTATTCTCTAATATTGACCTATTCATACACTATACTAAATTCCTACACATTAAGGAAGCAATGATTTACCTTTTAGGAGAGCCACTTTAGCAATAGGTTCATTTAGTTCATGGTCATCCATTTGAGCATCTAGGGAAAGGGGAAAAGTGATTATTTTAGCATTCTGAGCAACACATTCACATTATTTGAGGAAATTAGGCATTCAACTTAGCATAAACTCACCCCTGAAAAACAAAAGTTTAAAAATTTCAAAGTTCTTAAATTTAAATAGTGTTTTCTTACTTTAAAAAGTATTCTGTAACTACTCACGCACATCAAAGTAGAGTTACATGTTTGTCCAAAATGTACCTGTAGTGTCGTCACTGCTTTTCTCTTTGCTTGGGCTAAGAGTGTCCGATAGCTCTGCTTCTTTAGCTTTTGCCTGATTTTCTGTAAAATATAAACAATTCCTCTGTTAAAATATATACATATTTCAAAAGTATTTTAGTATTGGTTCAATCTGTATTTATGCTTTATTTAACAAACTAAAAGCACACTAGTTATAAAAACACTGATTTTGTCTTTGCACTCCTGTTCCCAACTGGATTAAATATCTCCAGGTCACATATTTAATACTAAACAATCCAACACAGGATGCAGTTGTCTCATGCACAGTTCAGCCTTTTGTTTAAAAGTTGTACTCTGGCCAGCTGGAACTGAGTGTAAGGTTGGTTGTTTTGTTCACTAATTCGGGGAGCAAATCAGGAGAGAGGGACACAGAACACCATTTCCAGAACAATACTGATATTGTAACATGCAAGAAAGAAAAGACCTATGAATGCTGCACATTGAGTTGTGTAAAGAGAAACACTTGCATAATAAGAAGATGATGCATAAAATTTTACAATGACATGAAATGTAAGAGAACTCAACATTTAGAGTTAAGCAAAGCAATACAAGCACATTTAAAAATATTAGAATGTGGAATTTGCAACCTTTCAACATTCAAAATGATAAACAGCCACCTCTGTTCCATGTATAATTTTTATATATACTATAATGAAGATTTAAAAGTTCTCTTAGGCCCTAGGAGACTGACCAAAAGAGAGGAAAGGGAACTCAATGGGGGAAATTCTTCATTTCTCATACTGCCACTGGATTCAACAAATCTAGATAACTCTTTAGCTATAAAAGGTTGATAGTATTTAATATAGACAGATATCCTACATAAAAGTCAAACTAACAGAAACTAAGTTTGAGTCAGTTGACAATAGACTTTTAATATATGATTTTTTAAAAATCCACAATATCTGTATTTATCCCATTTGGAGAGAACAACTGCCTATCTACTATTTGAAGAATGGCTCACTTGTGGTATAATGAGTAACTTAGCAAAGTGATCTCAAAGAGATTATGAAGTTTTAGCACAGTAATTTTTCATAACCAATCAAACTTCACACCTCTAAAAAAGATAAAGTATTAGAAGCTATCGAGTAAATCACAACGGAAAACTGTTCATATGCACCACTATATAAAGATGGGTGAGATTACATTGTAGGAAACATATTAATACTGAAAGGAGGGGGGTACACTGATTAAGTGAAATTCTTTAACATAAGCATGTTAAATGAACATGTTTCTACACGTGATGCATGTGCTACATCTAAAGAACACCACGTTGTATGAATTACAGTAAAAGTTACTCAGAGTGAAAAAGACTTATTTGTCAGAGGTTTCAGATCAGGAAATGTTCAGGAAACATAGAAGCATGTCTGACTTTGCTACATCCATGGACAACTTCAAGCACCATTAGTCACAGTATTAAACATATTCATTTTATAACATAACTGGTATTCTTATCAGCCTGATTTATTTTTGCTTCTGAGATTGACCTGGATGACAGAAATGATTCTAAGCATATGCTAAAATGGTTCCCTGGTTTTCCAGAGAACTAGAAGCAAAAAAGTAGCTTTAACACAAATGGAGGAACTGCAGAACAAGTCTAATTAAACACTTGCTTAGAGCCATTTCAAAGCCCCATTTGTGGAACTGATGATGGTGAAGAAAGCTTGCTTTTTCCACTACAAGTGAACCTATGCAGTGTTGCACAGCCAAGTTTTTTTAAGCAGTAAAGGGGTTTCCCCATCTTCAGTCTGCAATAACTTAAACTTTGCAGTTAAAATGGTCACATTACAAAAGCAGAATGCTCTAAGAACATGGTCTGGTTAGAGTTATGTGGACAAATTTCAGCTCATATAACCAACAGATGTGTTTGTGAGACTGCTCATTTGTTGATGCTTACCCATCCTGGCCTAAACCATATGGCCAAGAAAGAGTGGCAAGGTAGCTCCAATACTTCCCTGCAGGATAAAATGGTCCTAGCCATCTGAAAGAGCCAGTTGTGAGGTCTCAACTGACTTTACCAACTACTAGCCAATTGTGAAATCTATTTTAGGGGTTAAGGCATCTGAGTGGGTGGTGACTGTTTAGATCAAGTCTTTTCCAAATATTACTTATTTACCATTACCATTTCAAACTCCCTTTTATGGTGAATGAAAGACACTCAGTTTAGCAAGTGTTTCTGCTGAACTGTTAAGTACCTTTTGATAGCATCAGTTATGGTACCCTTCTGGACCAAACTCATCAGGATTACAGTTACCGGGGGGGGGGGGGCATTGTTATTTGGTGCTATTGCATATTTTTTCACAAACCTCTAGGTTCCCCACCCTTTTCAACACCTGCATTAAACATCTGGAAGAGACTACTCAGACTTTTTGAGATGGGTACAATCTATATATAGATGAACTCTCTCTTATCTTTCTTATCAGCTATAGACAACTGGAAGCCAGTAATGGACTGAGTGAGGACAAATATACTGAAGGCCAATTAAAATAAAGCTGTTAAATCAATTGCATATCAGCCCAGATAAATGGTTTTCAAGCTTCTGGCTGGGCAGTTCTCCCTCATGCAAACAAGATCCCGACCCTGCTGCTGGGTGCCCTCAAAGCACATAACTTTTTTCATTTGTTTCAGGTGAGGCACCAGCTCTGACCTTTCCTGGAGAGATGGACTGGCCCAGTTATTTACACTTTAGTAATGTCTAGGCCAAATTACTGAATCATTATACATGGGAGTGTCTCTGAAGGGCATTTAAAAACAACTGGCATGAAATGCAACAACCATATTGTTAATTTGGCCACAAACTGCTGTTGTGCTTCCCATCAATTTGTTTCCAGGCTGAATTCAAAGGGGGTTTGTCTTTAAAAACCTGACAAGTCTAGATGCAGACTTGAGAAACAAAAGGACCTCCTTCTCGCATATGAGGTGAGCCTGCCTGTCAGTTCAGGAGCTTCAAGGGGTATTTCAAGGGATGTTTCCACCTTCTGTGTTTAAGTGGGTAACTAGCATAGGGGAGATCTCAGTGGTGATGCCAAAACTGATTAACTTCTTCCCTCTAGACAGGGTGGTCCCTAGGCATGGTGTCTTCATTACTGGGGGGGCGGGCGGGGGGGGTTGGAACTTTATTTTTTAGAGAGCATTCTGTCATCCCCTACCATTAAAGTCATTTAATGCTGTCCAAGACTTTCATTATTGGCTTTTGTTGATTTGATGTTTTAAATGGTTATTAGTGGCTACTTTAATTGTTCATTTCAGTCACCTTTATGTTTTTGTATGTTCTATTTTTTGTTTCTGCTAATTTTGGTATTGTCCTTTGAACTATGCAATCAAATGGAACCAAAAACTTATTCTTTTAAAAAAGAAGGCATGACCTTTAAATAAGTATGAAATCATTTTATATAGGTGCCACAAAACAAATATGTCAGTCTTATTTTACAATCTTATGTGTTAAAATGCTAGTTTTTCTTGCTGGCCTACTATCTTGGAAGTATGAATCTGAATGTGTTATTTTTTGCAGCAGTGTAACTCATATTTCCCTAAATGGATATAGAAAGTACAGCTGGCCTCTGTGCAAATTGTGGTGAATCATCCAAAACAAAAGCACACAGAAAAGCAATCCACAACTGCTGAAGTTCATTCTTGATCCTTTCTTTGTTCCCATTCCTACTCTCCTTCCCAATACTGATTTTAGACTTATACAGTATAAATAAATAAATACACAGTGACTGCACTTCAGCACATTATAGATTGTCCAGTTATTCAAGAAACTGGCAATGTTGCCAAAGATGCAAGGATCCCTTTCAAGGAGAAGGTCTGTGTCCAAGAAGAATTGTACTGTTATTTGTTGAGCATCATGCTGCACAGCAGAACCAAAACTAAGGGACGTTACAGCGTAGTTTGAGATTTGTCATGGGGACCTACTGTTGAAGAAAATTCAACAAGTCTGTTTCGAGGGCACAAGCCTTTGAAATAGTCTACTAAAATGCTTGAATCTCAGGTCCTAGTACTCAACGTATTTTTTCTGCACTTGATTCTGTTCTCTAAGGTTATCCTACAAAATATTTCAAAGATCTCTGAAGTCCAGAAAGTATGTCTTTGTGATTGATCCCAAGAAAAGAAATAAAAATGAACCTAAAAATGTTGTAGATGTCACTCCTGAAGGGTGCAGCACAACTTGCTTAAGCATCATCTGTTACATTAGTACAAGGAGATACAAACTAATTGCCCAATATTAAATGTAGGAAGACAGGAAGCTGCCTAATTTGTCAGACTATATGTCCAACTTCTTTGTCAGTCTATCTTGCCCAGTACTGTCTGCTCTGAGTGGCAGCAGTTCTCCAACAAAGATCATTCCCATCACTGCTACCTGAATTATTTATTTTTTTAAAGTGCAGATACCATTTCTCCTTTTTTAAGTGGGGCCAACTTAAAAAGCATTAGCTCTCTTATAGAGCAATATATAAAAAAAGAAGTGATCCATTTAGAAGTTTATTATATTAGTTATGGTTTAATGAATTGGTAGTGAACTCAACTTTGTTTTACCATGGACAACTTTTCATTTCAAAATTTCCTCCTATTTTTAAATTGGATTAAGTTATTTAAAACTTCATGACTGAATCCCTTTCATAGTTAAGTGGAATGCATTACATCAATACAAAAAATAACACCATTCTGCAAGATAATACTGGCATGCAAGCATTAAATTACACTTGTGTTTATTCTCTACATTCTTTTCCAAATATGGCATGCAGCTTGTACTTTGTATAAACAAGAACATACAAGAGAGCAACTGCATGCAGGATTTATCAATTGTTATTTCTTAACAAAAGTAGTTCTAAAATCAAAAGTTGCAATTTTTAAATACCAGTATCTAATGAGTCCTTAACAGAGTGATAAAAACTTTTAAACAGTTGGGGAAATTAGTTCCAAAAAACAAAGTTTCCTAACATTTTAGAACATAAAATAAATATAACATAAATTTACTTTATTGCAAATAGAAAATAACTTCTAACAAGCAGCTGATATTTATTGGCTGATAAACCTAAGAATGTAAATGCTGGGAAATTTACTAAAAATTAAAACATTTATAGAAGGCATCATGCTTTTGAAATGAAACAATTTGCATAGTGCAGACTGAAAGTTTTAAAAATGCAACTGAATCCTCAATATCCATGTTTTTAAAATATCTCTGTTCACATGCTTACCAAAACTAAGGCTGGTATTCTTAATTACTTTTACTTGGAAGCAGTTTTTACTTGGGTGGTAAGCTGTAAGGATCTGATGCAGCATAATCCCTCAAACATCCCTCACACTTATAAAAGAAAGCTCCAACAGCCAGATTCAAAGGTTCATTACACGCCTTAAAAACTAGTAAGTTGAATAAGTCTAACCTTTCAGAATCTTTGTTTCATCCACTCTGGAAAGATGTCCTTCGTCTATGAGCTTGTCTGCTGAACAAAATAAGGGTTACTATTCTAGCTCAAATTGTGCAAGCATTTCTTTGTACACGTCTCTAATCTACATTCCATGACCAAATTTAAACACGGCAATATTACCTCACACTTCTCTGTGCTAGAATCAGTGGGACTTTTTTCATTTCAGTGAAGCAATTACATAAAACACTTTTTAAATTATCTATGCACAACTAAAATGAAACATCTTTGAAATTGTCAAAGATTCTGGAAAATCAAAATCATTGAACTTAGACATAAGACTATAAGACGGCTGCTGGATCAGGCCTATCCAGTCCAGTATTCTGTTTCCTTTGCCTATGAAAACCCCAAAGCAGTACATGAGCATATTCTGCTTGTGTTCCCAGCAACTGGTATTCAAACATAGCCATCATGATACACATTAGTTATAATGATAAACTGGTTAACATGTAATGACAAACAAAGGTTTAACTAATCATGGTTTATTGAATTGTGGATTGTTGTTACATGTGAATCCAGAACTATGAGTTAATCATAAACAACACAAAAAAGGTGCCACAGTTTGTTGTTGGGTTGTGAACTACACAACTTTTAAGCCATGGATTATTACTACATGCAAACCCATAATTGTGAGCTATCCATAGATTATTTTGTCAAAGTAGAAAGCAAAAGCAGACCAAAACCTCAATCTTTTTAGATGTCAATACTACAGCATCATGGAACCAGTTCAGATACAGGGAGTGCAAAGGTGAAGGGAGAGGGAAATAAACAACCAAGGACTGAGAAAACAAACCATCTTTTGTTTAACCAAACAAATGTGCTAGGGTTGGACAATAAGCCACAGTCTGAATTAAAAATGGTTTACCATTACATGTGAACCAGGCCAGACTTATCCTCTATGATCCACTGGTTTATCCATGGTTCATTTAATAAATTGGATCATTTAAGAAATGTAATGAAGATGCTTATACATTTTGCGAAAATTCCACAATAGAAGCATTTTAAACACTGCTGGTAAAAATAATGCAGATACAGTGGAAGTACATACAAGTTGATAGTCAGTGACAATAGCTATTATGGGGGCCAAATAACCCCACATATATATGGTGGTTGATTCATTAATGATGTCTGAAACACTATACTACCCTTTGTAGCAATTCTTTTCTAGGTCCTCAGTATAGATACACCTTGACCACACAAAAATTAATATTATTATTCTATTTATTTCATTTCTACAATGTCCCATAGGTGAAGTTCTCTGGGCAGTTGACAATATGGTACATTTCTTTATCAGGAAAAACACTGCTAATTAACTGTTGATAACTCAGTACCACATTTTTAAAGTGCCAATTTTTTGGCCTTTGCAAATAGTGGGAACTACAAGACGACTATAACAGGATGAACAAGGTTGGTGGCCTTGTAGTTTGTTAGTAAACTAATGAGACAGAAACACAACATAAGAATAGACAAGAAATAAAACTAACACAACAATGAAGGAAACATCAGACTATGAGGCCAAAATAAAAGGCTAGCAAAGGCAACACTGATTACAACAAGTGTCAGAGAAGAACAAGAGGTAATACAGGATAGATGAGGCAAAAAATGGGAATATCACATATTCGGCGTTATCCTAAAGACAGAACAAGAAAAAGAAAATAGCATAGGAAAGACCAAGAGATGTGGAAATAATTCACACAGATTTCAAATGCTAATTTTATTGTTGAATGAAATGTATTCATGTGCACCATATGATGACTACAACAACTCATCATGATTCACATGTGTGAAAAGCCTTCGCAAATCAATTTTAGGGAAGTTTTCATATCAAGAAGCACCTTATCCAAAATACTTTTCAGTGAAAATAGTTCACATATCCAGATGAAAATCTGTATGGAGATTAATGAAATCTGCTGTAGATTAATGAAGTGATTAAGAAATGTTTGAGGTGTGCAGATGCGTGCATGAATGAATCCCAAATATTTTAGCTGTCACTAAGCTGTTCCACCTGTATTTTTGTTAGAGTAATAAAACAAAGGCTGGTCAGAACAACCTAATAAGGCCAGAGGTAAAGTTTTTCCTCAGAAATGAGACTAACAGCAGAGGACGGTGCTCATACAGAGGTGACTTTTTAGATATGAGAAAATAAGAGGACAGGCTAAGAAGAGCTATACCACATTTCACTCACTGGAAACAGAAAAGTATGCATGAGGTTTATTTTATGTAACAATGACAATAGTTGTCTATGGAAAACAAGTCTGCTCAAAATGGGTAAGCTAATGAACAAAAAGGACATCTGTGAATCGGTCAAAAACTGTGAAGATTATGCCCTGTAAAGCCTATGCCCTATTTTTACTTGTTTAAATCTGACACTGTGGGCAACACATTAACAATTCAAAACTGGACTTCCAGGGACCTTCCTTTGAAGTAAAGCTTAATTGTCTGCTGTTCTGTGCCAAGATTAGAGTATTAAATGTGTAATGTTATATGATCATCAAGTAATCTTGTGATCAGGAAACTGTCAGATAAAGTTCCCATGTGCCTCTCAAACTGGCCACAAGGTCGACTAATATATAGCCTATTTGCACATTAAAACAGCTCACTGTGGTTTAAGGAGGGTGATATGTTGCTCAAGGCATCTGGTTTGCTGCCTGTGTAAACCAGGCAGTTGGGATAGTTTGAGGGTTAGGCAACCTTTAAATAACTCAAAAACAAATCATAGGTAGCATGACATGATAAGCTATAACAAACTGGATGTTCTATAGGTACCATTCAAAAATGCTCCTTCAAGCAATCAACATGATGTAACAGTACTTCCACTCCCAGGCACAATAAGCCACAGTGGTCTTATTGTGCTTTGAAAAATCACAGGAAAGTTAAAAATTAGGTAAGTTTAATGGATTTTTCTTTTACAAACTGGTTTTGGTTATTAATTGACAGCATTTTAAACTCTATTTTAATAGTAAAATGGCCTGAAGACTAACAAAAGTTATATGTTTATATGACAAAAGTTATATGTTTATATACAAGCAAATAAAACTAGGAGATGAACATACTGAAAGGGCCATTAAAAAGCCTCAGATATTTGGCAAATAAAAAGTTTGGCTTGCTGTACAGTGTGCTTAATTACTTGTTCACATTAGCAGCAATGCAGTCTTTGAGGTACATTACTTGGCAATTCAATGAGCAAGTAAATGCCAAATGAATCATTAGGAAAACACAGTGAAGGAAGGATGATTATGAGCATCCACAGGAGCAGCAACTGTTTTATGTGTATATTATGTACAATGTGCTGCAGCTTCCAAACATGTAAACACCACTGTGCAGATATTTGTGTAATTCTCTCGTGACTGTATATGCTAACTGTATTTCTACACTGGAAAAATGCCATATGTAAAGTGAAGTCATCAAATCATAGAATAGTAGGTGAGTCATCCAGAGATGAAAGTGATTGGATGGGCTAGAAATATCGAGAGAGAGAGAGAGAGAGAGAGAGAGAGAGAGAGAGAGAGAGCGAGAGAGAGAGCGAGCGAGACAGAGAGAGAGAGAGATACATAGATAGATAGAAGAGTTGAAAGAGGCTATGAAGGCCATCAGGTCCAACACGCTGCTGTTGCAGGATACCAGTTTACACCATCCCACTCTGATGGCTGTCCAGTTTCTTTTTGAATGTCTTAGCGTGGGAGAGCTCACAACCTCTCTAGGCACAACTGATTTCACTGTCATAATGCTCTGATAGTGAGGAAACTTTTCCTAATATCTAGCCTAAACCTGGGTTGTCACAACTTGAATTAATTATTCTGCGTCCTACACTCTGATATCGAGAAGATATCTTGACATTCTTCTTTGTGTCAGCCTTTGATGCACTTATAGAGCAATATCATGTCCCCTCTCAGTCTTCCCTTCTCTTCTCAAGGCTGCACATGCCCAGTTCTCTCAGTCTCTCTTTCCCAACCCTGGATCAGTTTTGTTGCCCTTCTCTGGGCTTTATTTTTCTGCATCTTTCTTAAATCCTAGTGCCCAGAAATGGACACAGTATTCGAGATGGATTTCAATGCTGTGATTTCTGCTAAAATGATGTTTTTACTGCTAGTGCATTGACAGCACTGGTTATTCTCCATAATGTACTTGTCCTACTGATCTGAAGTGCAAAGCCACAAAGCTTGCATGAGAAAGGGAAACTCAGTATGAGAAAATAGCACTAAAGAAAATGGTAAGAAAATAAATAAGGTCAAGTAGATGGTTCAGAGTGTTTACTGAGCATTTATTCTTAAGGAGACATGAACAGTTTCAGCATTCACTTGTGGAAGCTTATCAATTAAAGAATCTATGTTCTTAAAGTCTATCAGACTTTATCTTGTTAGTTTACTTAGTATAAGCCAGTTTAAAAATTCCTGTTGAAATCAGTGAGAACAAATAAGCACTAATTGTACAACTGCTACACTCTTTACCTCATAGAAGTAACCGCACTCTGTAATATTATCTCATCAATCTACAAGCTCTTGCAAAACAAAGAACATGAATACAGACTGACCCTTTTGGTTCTGTGAACTATAGAAATGGATATGCATTATGTACAGGAATCTAACAATTACTACTGCAAATAATTTTGTGTGTTTAACAGTACAGTCTTATGACCCTTTAAACAGGAAATGCCCTAGAACTCCCAGCATGCCCCAGCCAGCCATCCTAATGACAAACACAATAAGGGATGAACTGGGTGGGGAGGGGGGCATGAAAAAAATGGGGAATGCAGGCACTGAAATCAGAGAAGAAATTAAGAAATTGTTAAGAATGTACTGTTAGTGGAATTTAGCTACAATACTCCCCCCTGAATTTTTTATTGCTTTTTTCCTCATTACCAGCAAGCATTCCTTCTTCACAAGGCTTAGTGGAATACCTAATATGAGAAGCAATCTTGGAATGAATGTGAAGAGCCATGAAATGGAGGAAGACAAGAAGGATAAACAGGATATATGCTATTAATCTATTGCTTTCCTGGAGCATACTGAGCATAATTATTTGCACCTTTTAACACTGTCCAAAAGTGTTCCAGTGGAATATATCATGATATCATCTTATAGTTAACTGAGACACAATTTCTCCCTAAAGCTTCCCTGTATGTCTCATAGGAGATACATACATTCCTTAAACAGACTCCCCTTACATCAAACACCACTGAAATCAAACAGCATAGACTTATGGATTCACTTTGCAAACATCTGATATTACAGTGAAAGGGGAAGCCTGCACATCTCCCCCATGATTATGTTTCTGAGCTCTTCCTGCTTCTGGATCTTGCACATCCTATCATGGAAGGATGTACAAGTCTCCCCATCCCCCACTTCAAATGTTGAGAACAAACTAGAATTGCAAACAAAAACAGATAACCTTCACTGCTGAGCAAGTATCTGAATTAAAATCTTCCAAATCTACAACACCGTGGTAATATTCAGTACTAGTCAGCACATTCAGACTACTTAGAACTTCTCTATATAACTCACTTGCATTTAGAACCTAAATGCGATAGCAAAACCAGAAGGGATTGATGTCAACTCAGGTGCAATTCAATCCCTTCTATGGATTATCATTTGCATGATGAGCACAGACTCCAGCCCAAAATGGCTGTACAAATGTTTCACAATATGCCCAAATTGTTAAACTGAGTGAGAAATTAATCCACTAAGGCTTTCAGGATAAGAATGATCTGATTTCTTCAATTCATCTAAATACATGGTAATCCTCATCTCAACATACAAAAAAGGGTGAGAGTTAAGTTAAGAATTAAGTCCTCTTCTGAATCCCATTCTACTAAAGACTGCAGGCTATCTTTCCATAAATACTATGGCAACTGTTATTACAATTAGTACATATAAAGTACTAATATATGTCCATTGAAGTGGTATGTGATGTTGTGCTTCTCACAGAGTTACCAAAAAACTGAACTATTCCTGGTCTAGAACTGCATATATGAAACTGTTTTTATAGACTTTTTAGTGAATGTGAATGTTGTTTACTCACTCTGGCACTCTATGAACTGATGAATAAAAGTGCAGTCCCCTCCACTCTTTGAAAGAAAGTGCTCTAGTAAAGAAAGAAATAACTTTAAGTTCATATTTCTGTCTTTTGATGGCTCATGACATAAGCCTCACAGACATGGCACGGAGGGGTCAAATAACTCCTCAAAAAGGCACAAAAAAGAAAGGAAGAGCAGGGGACATAAAATACCTCAACAATAAACATTAGTGAACTACAGAATATATATTAAAGATATAAATATACAAATTGGTGATTTCTGTGCTACATCTTCAAAAAGTATATTATTTACAATGTATACTAATGCATGTTAGGACTAATAACTGTTCATATTCATACTGTGACAAATTCAGACTGTGTCCTTTCTGTAGTAATAGGGACATTTTTAGATTTTAATATTTGCATTGTTTGCCTTTTCTCAGTTACACAACAATTCTAACCCATCTTCCTATGTCTGTTATCAACAACAGGACCAACTTCACAAAATATACTTATTGCTGAAGCCTGCCTGATTTAAACTGAACAGAATGGCCTTCACTCTCATCAAAGGGTCACAGTTGGACAGTTATTTTCAGTCTGACTGTTTCTTGAAGCAACTTACCTCTCACTGTTGTCTAACATAATAAAATTAAATTGTTACATCTGTGTTCTATTCTCTTTTCCTTCAAGAAGCTAGAACTGTTTCAATTCTGTGAAACATGTCTGGTCAGAAAATAGTTATTCTGCCTAATGTCAGTCAGTGAGCTTCAAAAGTGAGTTAGGATTCCACACTAATTCCCTATGTCCAAATCCAACACTTGCCCTTCTTCTATCTGGACATCAACAACTATTACTACTAAATTTAAGTTTGGCAAACAAAATGGCTTCCTCTGCATGGCATGGAAATAGGACTGGACAAAGATATTTCAATCAGGGATTGATGAAGCTTTCACTTTCATTTTTTTCTCACATTCTCATGTTTTGAAACAGTCTCAGTTCCACTTTATTTTATCACTTTGTAAATAAAAATACTTTCATAAAAATTAATATGTATTTTCTTGCACATATTTTTAATATTCACATTTTAATGTAATTTTGCTGAACATACACATTTTAGCAAACAGTTTTCCTTTATATAATGCTTTTTTGTAGTGGTTTTTCCCCATTAACAGACATTTTGTCAGATGCTCTTTCCTTTATATGCATTTTTTGCATTGCAAAATTCTGAGAAGTAGAAGTGTTGACAAAGTGCAAATCTGGTAAATTCTTATCTTTATGCAACTTAAGCAACCCCCATCCCTATTCTTAATGTACCATATCTTTAACGGTTGCTAGAACTGGGCTCTTTGCCTGTGCAAAGGCAGCAGCCACCATCAGGCCCTGTCCTGACAGCGGGGCAGAGTACCCAAAGAACATCATGCATAAGGCAGGGGTGAGGGGACAAGTGGAGCCATACAAGTTGCTGAAAAGAAAATTAAGTTATCCAAGCTCCATAGGTGAACGTGAAAGAACTGTGTGAACTGGCACATAGAGAAAATGACAACAGGTAGAGCAAAAAGAGCAGGTTAAGGTTTGAGAGGCTATAGTAAGGATGGACATGCCCTACTTATTTCAGCTAGAAGGAGCAGTTGCATAAGGCTTTGCACCACAACAATTACAAGAAAGAACAGGAATGGGCTAATTAGCCCATCAATGCCCATGGAAGAGCAGTGGTTTATTTTGCAATTTGGTGAAACCACTGAAATTCAAACTAATGAAGATGAAAAATATGCGATAATGCTAGAAGAATTTAGTGGGGAAATGGAGTGTGTCATGTGATGCCAGTCCGCGTTGCATGACAGAAGGAGTGTAAATTGGTGAGTAAATGGTGAATTAAAAGTTTAAAAGTTTAAGTCAAGTGGTAAGGGAAGTTAGAAACTACAAGAAAGCAAGGGTAGAGGAGATGCTGGTTGTCTATAAATAAAAAACAAGAGAAGCTGCCTAAAAAAATCTAAAGAAAAAGAATGTAAGTGATGATATCCTATGAGGAGAAAGAGAACAACATACATAGTTGTAAATGATGTTAAGGCTTATTTGAGAAAATAACTCAGATTTCCATTATGGACCATTTATTTTGACTCAGTAGAACAACTGAATATATTTTCACTAACAAAAAGAGAAAAAAAAGTATTTGAAAGAATTGCGTACTTCTGTAAACAACCAACACTATATTCTATTAATATTTAAAATCAAGGAGACGTGTTGACAGTTCAGTTAAACATGTATTTATTTATTTTTATTTGTTATGCCACCTGTAGCCAAAGCTCTCTGGGGGATTCACAACAAGATATAGAAACAATAAAATACAATACATAAAACAACATTTAAATCATTTAAAAATTAATTAAATGGCATTAAAATACAATAAACAGAGAGAGATTTTAGGTGATGATGACTGTGATCCAAGGCAGCCATAAGTTTAACTTTGTTTGGATATAAGTGGAATCATAAAAGAAATCTCATCCTTCCACCCTTGCAGGCAAATCCCAAATGCCCTCTTCTAACCAGATTCAGTACTATGCATTATTATTGCTAACTGACAGTGACTGCTAACCGATTAAAAAGGTACAATCAAGCTAGAATCCTAAGTTCACTTTGACAATCCAGTTATAATTAGGTTCTCAGGTGGGCATAGGTGAATAACATGATTTATTTTAACTAGGCTCGATAAGGGATACAACAATGCCAAACTGGGTAGAAGGGGATAGGGAAAATTTGTATATAAGTGCTAAGGATGTATGGAATCCTGTAGCCCAGTTGCAGTATCCTGATTGCAGCAATATGTCCTAGCTGAACCTAAAGCTTTATAGAAACCTGCCATATCATTACTGTGGCTAATGAGGCAATATTCTATACACTTTTAAGCATGCCATGCCCCATCAGATGCAGCAATGTAGATGTAAAAACTTCAGAGAAAGCCCCCAGTGTTGAAATGGCTGCACTGAATCCCAGAAAGAATATCAATGAATCTTAACAGCAAGTTTAATATTTTAAAAGAAATAAGCTACTTTTCAGTCTGAACTAATGCTGAATGACAATACTGGGAGGAAAACCTAGCAGCTTGGAATCTGAATGGTAAGAGAGATGCCTGTTGTTGTTGTTAGTCGGGAAGTCGTGTCCGACCCATCGTGACCCCATGGACAACATTCCTCCAGGCCTTCCTGTCCTCCACCATCCCCCGGAGTCCACTCAAGCTCACACCAACTGCTTCAGTGACTCCATCCAGCCACCTCATCCTCTGCCATCCCCTTCTTCTTTCGCCATCTATTGTTCCCAGCATTAGGCTCTTCTCCAGGGAGTCCTTCCTTCTCATTAGGTGGCCAAAGTATTTGAGTTTCATCTTCAGTATCTGGCCTTCTAAAGAGCAGTCTGGGTTGCTCTCCTCTAGGACTGACCGGTTTGATCGCCTACCACAATTCAAAGGCCTCAATCCCTTTACGCTCAGCCTTCCTTATGGTCCAGCTTTCACAGCCATACATTGCAACTGGGAAAACCATAGCCTTGACTATATGCACTTTTGTTGGCAGGGTGATGTCTCTGCTTTTCAGTATGCTGTCTAGATTTGCCATAGCTTTCCTCCCAAGGAGCAAGCGTCTTTTAATTTCTTGGCTGCAGTCCCCATCTGCGGTGATCTTGGAGCCCAGGAAAATAAAATCTGTCACTACCTCCATTTCTTCCCCATCTATTTGCCGGGAAATGAGAGGACCAGATGCCATGATCTTAGTTTTCTTAATGTTGAGTTTCAAGTCAACTTTTGCATTCTCTTCCTTCACCCGCATCAAGAGGCTCTTTCGTTCCTCTTCACTTTCTGCCATGAGAGTGGTATCACCTTCATATCTGAGGTTGTTGATATTTCTCCCAGCAATCTTAATTCCAACTGGTGATTCATCTAGCCCCGCCTTTCTCATGATGTGCTCTGCATATAAGTTAAATAGGCAGGGCGACAGTATACAGCCTTGCTGAACTCCTTTCTCAATTTTGAACCAATCAGTGGTTCCGTGTCCAGTTCTCACTGTTGCTTCTTGACCCGCATATAGGTTTCCCA